CCTGGGAGGAATGCTTTTTGGAATGGAATGCGGGTGGACATTTGAAGCCTTGAAAAATGATGAAACAAAACGGAAATGTTCATCGTTTCTGCAGTTGAAGTAAAATGAGTACATTTTGGGTGTTGCATTCAAAATCCCTGAGCAACTTACCGTTTTTGAAATCATGACTTAATTACAACTTCATTACACTAAGTTTCGTGCTATGTGACGATATGCCATGTGTTTGTATTTTCTGTTTCCACAGAGTGTACATGGAGGAGAGGCGAGACCAGAGACAGAGGTGAACAGTACACAAACTAACAATAGCGGTTTGCACCGGGAGTCCAGTCCCATCAATGTCCTGGTAAAACGCACGGAGGCTTCCCGAAAAAAGGCAGAGAAGGACAGCAACCCTCGAGTGAGGTCGTCCGGCTGGACATGTGGGGAATGTCTCCAGTGTTTCCCTGAGCGAGACCTCTACCTTTCCCACCTGAAGTCCATGCATGGAAAGGTGAGGAACTATTTACATTCATTAGCTTTCTGGAGGCACACTTTTTTTTTCTCAGCACACATACACACAAAATTGTCTCTTCCTCCTCACGTTTGATGACATTTCATTGAATAATAGATTAAATGAATTTTCCCCACAAGCTATCATGGCTCGATGAGCTTCCACGTTTGTGGATGAGAATACATGAGAACGGAAATGTTATTTTAGGTGCACAGTTGGCGTGGTCCAGGTGAAAAGCTGCAATACAGAGACTGTGTTTAAAAAAAAAAAAAAAACATTGAAATAATTTTAACCCTCTCACAAATTTAAAACACATTCTGTCAGTCTGCCTCCCCAGGCAGCCCGTGGCTCCATACATAGTTTACAGCCACCAGAGTGTGAATGTGCGTGCGCATGGCTAATGTATCCATTGTGAAGTGCTTTGAGTGTGTTGCAGAAAAGCGCCATAGAAATTCGATACATTATTATTATGACATTTATATTCATTAAGACACACTTTAAGCATTCCTTAGCGCCTCTTCTCAGTCTTGCTCGCGCAGTTCTCCGAAGAAGAAGCTCGTGTGCTTGCTTCAAGCTGTTTATTTGTCACTCCCAGTTGAAGTTTTCTGTAAAACTGACAAATCAAGAGAATTAAACATTGTAAATTTGAACTCCAAAATGTCCAACCAAGCCATATAATTTCTTATATACATTTTCAGTAGCTTAATGCTAACATATGATGTGGAATGCCATAGCAAGCTAATTGAAATTAGCATAGGTGTTACCGCACCTATGAACCACACACTTAAGCAGTATCACAAAAATACTCACAGGCTTATCATTTATCTGGTCTGTGGGGAAAACCACTATTACTGGGGGCCTTCTCTGCCTCTTCTTGCCCGCATAATATTACGCTCCATCTCTTGCGTTTGACCTCAGTGCTGCCTGGCTTGTTGTAGTACAACTCTAAATTCTGACTAGCTTTTGCTGTGCCCAAAAAAAAAATAAATAAATAAATAAAAAAAATAAAGTGATTTAGGTGGGGAACATTGTGTGATTTTTGGATTCACTTTAATGCAAGAAATTTGGATACAGTACACGTTGATAATCGATGACCTTGCTTATGTGGTTATAAAAAGTTTCAAAAGTTTCCTGTGCTTTTTTTTTTTTATGAGATGTAAAAGTAAATAATGAGCATAATTTCCCTGTTAGAGCGCTGTAAAAGCATTATCTAATCTTATTGCCCGAACACGTCACATTTACAGTATTGGGACGAGTTAATATTAACTCAAATTAACTGAAACAGATACAGTATGTGATTGTCCACAACCAATAAAGTCATTTAATGGATTTCTTCATCAGCCACAGTAGTACAAGCAGTCCAAACAAATTAATTGTTCACGTGTGACATTTTAATGTTACTCAATGTTTCCTGTCCTCAGTCAGTAAAGCGCTACCCCTGCCGGCAGTGCGAGCAGTCGTTCAACTCCACGACAAGCCTAAGAAGACACATTCGCAGTGACCACGATGGCAAGAAGAAAATTTACATTTGTTGGTAAGATCAGTGTAAAGATGACCACATTTTTCTTGGACAATGGGACCACCAAGGCGTATTCCCGGACACTGGTTGATTTGTTTGTATTTTAGAACAATTTTATCGACAAAAAAAGGGGGAAAACATTTGAGGCTTCTTTTTCCCGAAATTAGTATGACTTTAGAAGGACTTTCTTTGCTAGGGGCGTCCGTTATATTTGATCTTGTTAAGGCTAACCATCTAAATGGACTGTGTTAAGGTATTGCACAGACAGAAAGACGACATTTACCAGCAGTGTGATGATGAAGAACCACATCAGTCTGATGCATGGAATCAAAAATCCTGACCTTGGCCAAATGCCAAAAACCTCCATGCAGGAAAGCAAAAAAGTTTTGGGCAAGGTAACAACATTTCTTTCACAATAACTGTTAGTGTGAATATCACTGGTCATCCTATAGAGACCTTTTTTTGAGCGCAGGATTCTGGACCGCCCACCGCAGGCAAGGAGGAGGGTCAGGACGTGGCAATTTCCCAACAGGCTCCTTCAGCCAAGCGTCTAAAAATGCAGTTCCGCTGCTCCAAGTGCGGATTCATCACGGACGACAACATCCGGTTCCAGGAGCACATTGCGAGGCATAAAAGCACCCAAAACACTCCCCAGTGCCTTCACTGCGGACTGTGCTTCACATCGCCGCTGTCCCTCAGCAGACACCAGGTCATCGTTCACAAGGTTAGAAATCTTGCGGAGGAGGAAGAGGCGGTGGCGGTGACGGACAGTCTCAAAGAGGAGCCCTTGCAGACAGACCAGGTCTCTGATTCAAATCTCACCCAGACATCAGGACAGTGACGTCAATGTCCATACATCTCTCAAGCTGCTTTCCATCTGGAACTACCACACACTGCTCGATGCTCCACATGATCATGCTTTTTGCAGAGCCACTGCAGCACATTAAAACAAAGGTTGAAAGAAAACAGTATTTTTACACACACGCACACACACACAGTTATAGATGGCAAACTGATAAACCTGGTTTCATAGATTTTTTTATTGACCTTTGCATGCTGGTGATTATGCAATGTGCCTGCCTGCCTGTGGCACTCATATTACCGCTAAAGCTATCTCTTTTTTTTAATTTATTTTTTTTAACGAATATTTCATCCACCATAATAAGGGAGTTACGAAACTGGGATTATAGTTTTGGTACAAACCAATAACGTCATGGAGAGATAAGCTTGTGCTTTTTTTTTGTTGTTTTTTTGGTCACTTTTGTAATGGACTGCAATTTAATTGCTTAAATCTTAGTATTAATGCCACCAAATGTCTTCTGAATGGCATTCCGGGCACTCATCATGCACTATTCATTTAAAAGCAGTACTAATGACCATAGACTGATGCTAAAGCCTTGCAGAAGTTGGGTTGCGGAATAATCACGATGTTTCAGTATGTGAGCATTATATGCCTTTATTTGTTGTTTTTTTTGTTTTTTGTTTGTTTTGTTTTTGTGAAAGGTTGGAAAGGGGAAGCAGAGAAAGTTGTTGAATGTGAGGTTTAGCAGTACTCAAAATACCTCAAACTACCGTAAAATGTCTTTTGGAGGCATGTCAATTCTGTAATGTCAAGAATCAAGGTACGTGAGTCAAGATTAGACCTAGCGTATTGTGACTAGCAAAAATCTGAAAGGAGGCAAGTGAGGGATGCCTTTGCTGTGACTGTTTTGTGTTGGAAGTGTGACAGTAACTACCTCCATGGTAAATGGCAGTGATTGTTCAATGTGCAGAGGAGTCGCAGTTAATCTCAGTGCAATGCAGAATCTGTATTATCCCACAATATTAAATTTTATAAATTGATTTTGGGAACCATATTGGCCCTGTTAAGTCATATTGACTTGTGATGTAAGTGCTACATGAGTTCTTAATTTTCTACTTTCTGCATGTGGCTGCTCAGTCTGACATGCATGATTTTTCCTTTTGTGCCCACTGAAGGATTTATTTTTTTAAATACTTTTGATACCCTGTACAGTGACAACTTGTATACCAGCCATAAGAGCCTTGCTTAAGCTATGACATCTATTCAGCATGCAGTGGCCCATGTGCCTTACTGTTATGTTCACCCCGAATAAAGAATTGGTGCATTTAATTATAGTCATGTCGTGACTTTTTTTGATGGCTCACTGAGAATGAAAATGCAATTGTCATGAGCTCTATTTGACCATTATAGGAAACATGGAATATTTGATGCAGCTTTTGTACTGGCCATCCTATATTAAAACCATCCTTTCCCACTATAACTGCTTGTCTCCAGCCTGGGGGGCAGACGCAAAGACCTTTTAATTGAATAACAACTTAAGACTGAAAGGCAAATCGCCCGTACCTGCATGGGTTTTATCCGGGTACTCCGGTTTCCTCACACATTCCAAAAACATGCATGGGAGGTTCATGCAGGACTACCGTAATTGTCGCAAGGTGTGAGTGTGAGTGCCCCCCGCTTACTGCCCGAAGACAGCTGGGATAGGCTCCGGCACGTCCCGCGAGCCTTGTGAGGATAAGCGGCTCAGAAAATGGATGGATGGATGGAGAATTAATTTATATTATAGTGCACAGTGTAATTCAATTTAATTCGTTATTTTAAGAAGTTGATGGTTATTTTAACTGTGCTTTTGTACAAACTTTAACTAAATATGTTTTAAAATATCACTGAGCGGGTGTAATAAATTCGACACTATAATATTGTTCGTTATTTATTTAAGTTTTACGCCAGTAAAAAGTAATTGTATTGAATATGACGATGTGAGTAGTACGTATCTTTAATGAAATAAATAGGTTCCGTATAATTTCATTTCACCATTTAATTCAATTTGAGAAGTAATATATTCGCTTAATTCACCACAGTAATTATTTCAATTTTTTTTTTTTTGAGTGGCTTTATAGTCATTTATATTATCCAGATTTTTCGTTAGCACCCTCTAACGGTCAAATCAAAAAACGTTTTATTTAGTTATCAAATCCGGGTCATAGTTGAAATATTACACTCCACAACACTGCTTAGTGTGGCTATCTCAACCACAAAATCCCAAGCCATGCCTTTAATAGTTATGTGTGGTTATCCGTGCAGTGGTAAAACGCGGAGAGCAGAGGAATTAAAAGGTTATTTCGAACAAAACACTGACAGAAAGGTTCACATTGTGGGAGACTCACCCCTGGCCGCTGAGAAGAACGCCGTGTATGCAGGCAAGTGTTAAAGCTAGCCGTTCTAACAATCATCGGCCACAAGAATCATGTTTTACAAGTAGGTGCAAAATAATATAGCCGTTGTGTAAATAAATTTTTGTGGAAAATGATGTGAGGTCTTTGTATTCGCTGCACCGCATGATGCAGTTTATATAGCCAGCGAAACTAATGAATTGATGCTATTTTGAATGAAGTCACGGTGCGTCCTCGACAGCCACTTCATTAGGTGCCGGAATGCCCCCGCCCCCCAAAACAAAAAAAAAAGAAATACAAACAAACAAACCCTACTGATGTTTACTTTGGACCGACACTTAAAATAAGTTATCGAAAAATATTTTTAATCGTGTAAGTTTAAAAAAATGCAGTCATTTGGATCATCTCATGTAATTAAAGAGGGCAATAAAATTACTAGAATTACATATCTTGTTGAACATGAAATGTGTTTTCCACTGCACCAAAACAAACAATTTATTTTTACGATGATGATGGTTATTATTAATTATTATATTTGCGGTTAGTGTTATTATTAGTCTAGCTTTGTATTACTACATTTATGTCTTGTTTGTCTTAAAGGAGAAAGGGAGAGAGGATAGACATTCATGGAAGTGTCTTCAAAATCTAATACAAAGGCATTTGTTTGCACAAAATAAGCGTGGTTGTGTGTTGCAGATTCTCAAAAGGAAAAACAGGTCCGAGCTGCACTGAAAGCTGACGTGGAGAGGTGGGTGCTCCGGAGATAGACTTAATTTTTTTTGTTTCATTGTCTCCGGCCTTTTTAATATGTGTGCTGTTATTGTTCAGGAAAGTCAACAAGGATGACATCGTTATTTTGGATTCCTTAAACTACATTAAAGGTATTGTAGTTAATACGATAACACGCCTGGATGATAATGGCCTTAAAATGGCAACAAAAAAAAAAGACAAATGAACTTGAATCAGTTCATAAAAACTATAAATTTCCCAACCCTACACATTAGTGACCTTACCTATCAAAACCTTTCCACCTTAATACATTGCAGGCTACCGCTATGAGCTTTTTTGTCTCATTAAACATGCACAGACACCACATTGCCTGGTAAGTACATTTACACAATGCCAATTTGGAAATCAAAGAACAGTGCAAGATGATGTAAAAATTATTCTCTTAAGGTGTATTGTTTAACGTCAGATGAAGTGAGCTCAGCGTGGAACACCAGCAGAGATGCAGAGGAGCAGTACACACAGGACATGTAAACAAAGACATATGCATAAACAACATACACACGTCTCAAATGTTTTCCAAGTAGAAGCATTACAAATATATTCATATTTGTCCTGTTACCTGCAGCTTGGATGCATTAATTCTGCGGTTTGAAGCGCCAGACTCCAGAAATCGCTGGGACAGTCCACTTTTCAACATCCTCCAAGATGACGCGTTGCCATTTGAAGCCATCACTGACGCGCTCTTCAAAAGGAAAGCACCACCACCCAACCAGTCCACTCAAAGTGTAAGGCACACATTAAGAATGAGAAGAAAAAAAGGAAAGATGTTTGTCTGTGAATGAGACCTTCCTTTTTTTTTAAATTTTTGTATTTTTTTAAATTTATTTTTTATTCACAATTCCAATTCCAAATGGCATGGGTAACTGACACATCTATGAAGGCACCGTTAATGCTGAAAGATACATACAGGTTTTGGAGAAACATGTTGCTATCCAAGTATTGAATTCTTTTTATTTACAGCACTTTACAAACAGGGATGGTTGTTTTAAAGTGCTCTATAAATAGAGTTAAGATGAGTTGATTTAAACCAACTTCCCAACTTCATTGGAATTGGATTTGTACACTTATACTGTTTTTTCAATTGATATAAGTGCAGTAACATTGTGTCTCTGCAGCAACCACTCTCCTCTGCAAACTTCCTGTACGAGTTAGACAAGACCACACAGGATGTGTTAATGGTATGTTTTAGATTTTCTGCTCTCAGAATCCATGTGACGGTCTAAATTGGGGGTGACCACACACATAAGGATTAATCGCTCAGGGTAATTTTTCATAGCCACCGGAGAAAACGTTGCTGACTTTGATCATGGAGGGGCGGTGAAATACTCAAATTTGGCCCAATTGTCGCCATTTGCGAACCCCGCTCATTTACTGCTGGGGACATTCATATATTTCAACAGGAATCCAACCAATTACTGCCACTGAAGAATATTTTTTGTCACTCACTTAATTTGTAGTGTCATCGCCAATGAATGTACTTTCCTCCCTTTTTTTAGGCCATTTTCAATGCACAGAAGACAAGTGTTCCTGGAGACAGCATTTCAGTTCCAGGAGCGACAGAGAAAATATCCTTTTTCTAAACAAATCACATAAACATGTCAGGAGCTCATAAATAGTTCTTCACTTAATAGAATTTTGCTGACACATCAAGCTCCGCCTCCCTTGGTAGAGACGGTGTTGACAATTAGCTGGCTTGTCTGAAGGCACCATGATCGATTAGGAAATCGATTAAAGGATCGCAGCTAAAGCTCTCTGCACAAATAACAAGTTGAGCCGTGTATCGAGCAAATTACAATTTAGTGGTTTTGATTGGCAGCTAGAAAACACAAAATGTCGCGATTACATTTGCTTCTGCACAACAATGTTTGATTTAAAACCGAGGCCTTTCGTATATTGAATGACTTGATGTGCTTCGTGGCTGATTTTGACTGAGACTTTTCAATCGGCAATGTCATTCCTCAATCTGCAAATCCTTAACCAGATGTTAAACATCGAGCTGACCAGAACCGTCAACATGGCCGAGCTGCGTAAATTCCGGCGCCAGTTCATCAGCTACAGCAAGATGCACCCGACAGAGAACACGGGTCAGATTTCCAACATGTTTGTACAATATTTAAATAAGAGTCTCCTTTGATGGATACATGTCACCAATTAAAATAGAAGTGTTTTTAAATTGGAAACATTGACTCAGCATTATTTACGAGGAACTTTTTGTTTTGATTTGCTGCTTTGTGTTTCACTGAATTCCACAAGTTAGTCATGAACATTTGGTCCAACGAAAGCTCCCTTCAGCATGAACACAATGTCCTTAATTCTTTCCAACGGTGTGCTTGACCCGTACGCAACCTTCTGAAGCCTACGTTTTTTTTATCCCCACCCATTGTTAGGATAATATGAATGATTTATTCGCTTGTAAAGATTTGGACTTATGTAAGAAAAGAGGTTGCATGCTCACATGTTGTTAATGACCGGAATGCTTCCGCCGTCCCCCACTGGAATGAAGCGTGAGTCAGCAAACAACATACAACATGACTGCTTACGTTTGTTATAAATGCACATTCAGCAAGCAGAGGCTAAGAGCGATGACTTCAGTGTGATTCAAACAGTCTAATTCGTAATGATTGGAACAGAGTATTTGACATACAAAAAGGTGCATAATTGTGCAAGTTTTCTAATTCTTTGATCATTCATTATAGACTGATATTAATAATAAGCATTGTATGTTAGAGAACGACCGCTACGTTTCGATTAGACCAGGGGTCCCCAACCTTTTTTGCCCCACGGACCGGTTTATGTCAGACAATATTTTCAGGGACCGGCATTTAAGGTGTGGCGGAAATAATACAACAAAATAAGATGGTATGAGCTGCATGAAAACTGTGGCGTTTTCGAAATATAATAATAAACACAAAGAGCGTCTAATCTGGCCGCAACACTCCGATCGCGACGGCAATGTTTAATGCCTTCAAAATACAATACAACGCAAATTCAAAGTGCATGAAAATGACGACTCACCACAGCACCGAGCTTGATTTTCTGCAACCAAACGGTCCCATCTCGGGGTAATAGGAGACAATGACACCTCAAGTGTGTGGTTTATGTCCAGTCTACTTCGTAATTTTGTTTTCGTCGCCGTTGCTGCA